AACCGAGACCAACCGAGACCAACCGAGGCCAACCGAGACCGACCGAGACCGAGGCCGAGACCGACCGAGACCGAGACCGAGACCAAGACCGAGACCGAGACCGAGACCGAGACCGAGACCGAGACCGAGACCGAGACCGAGACCGAGACCGAGACCGAGACCAAACGAGACCGAGACGCGACCGAGAAACGAGGCTAAATTTCATGTTTTCATGATGTGTGTGTGTGGGAGTTGGGATTGATGAGGGTCACCCCAGTAGAAAATAGTGGACACGTCAAACACCTCGACTAGAAAACCCTATTTTTTACTTATTATCAACGATAATTACGTCAAAAAATGATGATGGCCAGAGGCCAGTGGCTCCGTGGCGCATACATATTTTTTTACTATAAAAAAAATCATCTAAATATGTGATTTTTCAGAAAAACCCCCATCTCCATAGGAAAACCTAGTTCAGGTATTTTACTTTATATCTATTTCCCCCCCCAAATATTATTAAAATAAGGGGAGCAAAGATTTATATATTTTTATAAACACAGGACAGGGCAAGTGGACGACAGGCGGCACGGCGCCAGGCCATAAGGCGCAAGCTCGACCAGCTGAGCCCGTGCCCGACCGCCCGCGAGAGTGCCCGAAGCGAGTCAGGGACACAGCAGGGGCTGCAGGGCCAGGTGCTCAGGGTGACCAGGTCTCTCTGCTCTGTGGGGCTGGGCGCCGGTCATCGGCCCAATAAAACTCTCCACTGTCTCCAGAGAGGCCAGAGTTTACACTCTCCAGAGTCCAGACTCGAGGTCTGAGAAGTGTTTTTAACTTGAACTGCACAGGTTTTATAGAACGAAAGAAGAAAGATAGAGTAAAAATTAATCTGATTGGGTATGATCGTATACCTCTTTAATTGTCCAGTATAAGATTGATATTCAAGCTTCTTTGATTCTAAAAAGTTTGTTTATTTTATTATTGTCCACTGCAAGCTGTCTGCTGTTTCAATTCTAAATTTGTACCTGAGAGTTCAGACTCCGAACACAGGGGAGAGACCAAAGAGGCTAATAAACGACAGCAAATCATACGAAGTGAAAAAAACCAGATAAATGATACACAAGTTGGAAAATGTAGTTTACTCTGGAGTGGAAAAACCATCTGATTCGTTTGCCATGAAATACAAGGCACTCACACGCCAGCATTAAAATCATAGTCACACTGCCTTCCCTCGATATATGAACTAAAAATATATTCAAATACTAATCTGTTAAACTTAGCAATCAGAAACCAGTGATAGTAGCGTGTAGTTCAGTTGTGACTGCTGCTGTCGTTGGCCATCTCGTGTCAGATATAAGCATTTTTTTTTTTGGCCTGTTGGGGGCGAGATTGTATACCGGAGGACGCTAATTTCAGTGTTGGTGCATATAGTATGAAAAGAGAGTTCATTTCGTATATACGGGCCCTAAAATCACTTTCGCGATCGAGAAATTTGACAGAGATAGAATAGACGTGCGTGATATTACAGATTGTAATAGTGTAAGAGGTTTTTCAAAGATGGTGAAAGGTGCACAAATTCTGCCGCCCCACAGTAATCGGCTTGGGAATGTACTCGCTGAGGAATACAGGATATGTGGTTCCTTTGATCTACCCCCAATAGTGCTTAGGTATGTATGTATGTGTGTATGTTTACTCTACACCTTTTTAGTTTTAGTGATACCTTTAATGAGTCATGAGGTGCTATATCTGAATTTTCTGTTCGCTTTGTGTCGGTTTGCTTCTTTGTTGTAGTATGCGATACACACGGCGGATCCCCGTCTTGCCGCACAATTTCTGGTTTCCAGCGACCGCTGGAACATCTTGCAGTTTCAAAGTCACCATCTATGGCTCTTGAGGTTTATTATTTAATCCTCCACAGCAATTTTAGACTGTTCACACAAAGTTCTGCAGTGTTCATTCGAGATATTTCTGTGAGTGCCTTTTGATGCTTCTATCAAGTTGCAAGTGTCGTTATCATTTGTACAGATTATGGTTTATTCGATGTGTTGTGCATCATGCCTTATTTAGTGTGTTTTGCTTCCTGCATTATCAGTGTTGTACATCATGCTTTGTGACATGGTTTGGTGCACTTGTTGTGTCCTGTTCGGATTGTTGTTTTATCTATTATGAGTGGTATATTGCTAGGCATCGCCGGGCGCGGGGGGGGGACGGTGGTATGTGTAGTACGAGTGTATCTTTGTGGATCTCTAGAGAGCTTTGGGCAAGTGTTTTGGGTTAGATATTGTCTGCAGTTCGCTTAGTAGGTTTTTGTCGTCCAGCATGATGCCTGAGGGGATCCATTCTGAGCGCTTAGGTCGCATTTAGTAACAGTAGTGTGGAGATTTGCTTTTGTTATAGTTCTCGTGGTTTATATTGCGAGCGTATGGCTTACATACTTACCACTAGCAAGTCGTTTCCTTGGATAAATCGCGGCCGTTGTTCATAAACGCGAAGTAGCTGTTTGTATTTGCTGGGATTTGGCCGCCCTTCAAGATTGCGAAAGTTGGGTTGGCATGTCTACTGGCTCGAAAACTCTTCGTGATGGCAAGTCTACTGGCTCAAAAACTATTTCATTTACTAAAGAGACCTCTAATCTTCTGTATGGATATTGTATTTTTTTCCCCGGTTTCTGTAGTGTGTTATGCTGTTGTACGTGAATATATCTGACCTGATGAATTCTTCTTTTTGAGTACAAGTAACTTTTGAATACAATGCAACTTTTTTCGTGGTTACTGAAGCGTAATTTTTGTTTGCATACTAATTTCTCACATCCGCCTCACATGTATCGTCTACAGGCCTGATGTATTCTCGCTTGCCATCTGGGAAAGTTTGGAAAGGGTCGGAATCGCTGTGGAAGATGTTAGGATATTAGGAAGCGTTGCGGCTTTAATCGTCGCGGATGCTGATAGACAACATAGTATACGGTGCAATGACATAGATATAGTGTTTAACGTCGACTTTGAATATCACTCAGCGATCGTCAAGTTTGACCATGTACTTAATTGTGTGATGGAATGTTTGAGAGAACATTTTCCGGAAGAGAAACGTGAGGAGGGACAGAACCTGCCAGTGGGTGCGTTTTCAAGTGCTTATGTTAATAAGATGGTGAAGGTACCGAATCACAAATCAAATAGTTCTAAATCGGATAGGAATAGTGGAAATGAGGATTGTTGGTCTCTTATATCGCTGCGGAACGAGTCTGGACTGAATATCGAACTCAAATTTGTGCAGAATTTGAGGAGGCATTGTGAGTTTTCAATGGACTCGGTGCAGATCGTATTAACTAAGGAAGTGCTGCAAGCTAGTGCCAAGTGGGAAGTTATGTCCGGGTGGCCCGAGAATGTACCGGTCAACGCAGTGAGTGTTTGGGGAAATTACGAGGAAGCGGTGGAGCATATCAACCAGCGAATTATATCCATCAATCTGCCGGAGCAGTTGCGAGGTGGTGGTTTGTTAAAGTATTGTAGGCTATTGTCGGAGGGGTATAGTCATCCGGCCGAGATGACTGAGAAATCTATCAGGAAATTGCAGCGCTCTATGTGCACGCGGTATTTTATAGATTTCCCAACTCTGGCGCTGCAACACAACTATATAGTGGGATACATACACTCACATTTCCCGGACCCGCGCCTCGGCCTCAAGTATCTGCAACATCTGCAAGATGCTGTCGTCAGTTATACGAAACAGAATCCGAAGGAGCGTGCGTCAACAATCGAAGTTCTGGACGTACTCATGCAACACACTTCTGAATACATCGATCACATCGATTCGATGGAGTCAAGTTTGTCTGATTCGTCGAGTTCGTCTGCGGGATCCGAGTCGCCAATGGCTCCTTCTAGTGAAGAGAATCTGCTGGAAGCTATCGTCGACGGGGATGAATGCAGCACTTTGAAGAAGCTCACACGGTCAGCTTCGCAGCCAGCGGCGGAGGGGGAAGTAGTAGTGACGAAAGCTACGACCATTCTAGGACTTTCAAAGGTAGCTAAGAATGTGCAAGTAGTACACGGAGCGAGGTCTTTTGCGAAGATTGTAGCGACGAACCCTGTGCGGCCGAGTAGTGCTTCTGCTCCTGTCCCGGTGACGCAAAGTGATGCACATTCAGCCGTGTTTACCCCACCCAGGTCACCGACAGTGAGCGGCAGCAATACTAAGAACTGTTCAGGTCAAACCATCAGCGAAAAATCCAAAAAAAGTAAGAAGACCATAGCACAAGGTCAAATAGCCGCGACTGAATTCGCAACTACCCGACGAGATAGTGATGGTATGGAGTCAAGCACTAGCGCAAGTACTACTAGAATGAGTACCGATTCAACAGCTAGCTACGATACCATGTCATCCATGTCGGAGAAGGACTCAGATTCGAGCACAACTGTGCTTCTATACCCTTCACCGCCCGACACTCCTGAGATGGTTGCCACGCCCATGATCACGCTCGAAGCCGCGTCACCACTGGATGCACACCGTGCGAGTGATAGATGCGAACTTGAGTGTAGCACGGCGCAGGACGTCGACAGCAGTGAACAGGACAATCATGTAGAGCATGATTTTAGTGAGACTGCGGATGTATTCGAATATTCAATAGAGGCAAAGGAGGAAGTCTTTGCGTCCTGCAGAGAGTCGATGGTGGCCACGGATAATCTAGTTACACTCCGCGGTTTGTTGAACAAAGGGATTGTGAACGTGAATGATCGTGGTTACCTTGGCAACGACAAGAGTGAGGGTCAAACCTTGCTCATGGTTGCGAGTAAATACGGGCGGTATAAGTGTATGAAGGAGTTGGTGGACAAATTCGGAGCCGATATCAACATGGTGGGTGGGGTGGGTTCATATACGGCCTTGCACTACGCTGCGTTCCACGGTCACGTCAATGCTGTCGTTACACTACTCGAGCGGGGTGCCAAAACGGATATGATTACCTCTCAGGGAGAGACACCTGCCCAGGCAGCGTTGGCAGGTGGTAAGAAAGAGATTGCGCGTATGCTGCAATCTTACGCAAACAATGGAGGACGTGGTCCTGTAGATAGTACCTGCATGGATGGTTGGCAACAGTGTGGTCGTAAATCCAAAGGTCGCCGCAAAGCCGGTGTCACCGCTACTAACAACGGGGGCGGCAACAACAGTTCTGCTAAGTATAACAATCATGCAAAAGGGCATAATAATGTGCGTAATAGACGGATGCGTAAGTGATTTTAAAGGAATAGACATATATAGATAGATAGAGGTATTGTAGTACTGTGCGGATGCCGATGTATGCTCGACTTTGAGCGCGGCATAGATATACATATTGAGATCGAGTCACTGTTTTCATGGCTTATACCTGGACTGTCTCGAGACTATTGATCATTAGCTGTCAATGGTCTGTTAGTTCTGGAAGTTGTTACTCGTCTCTAATTTGACGCAGTACCTAGTATCATAAAACATTAGTATCACTAAATTAGAAAATAAGCCCATTCATAGTATATATTTATTAACATACAAGGAGGCTTGCAAAAAAAATATATAAAAGATTTTGATTGATAGCCATTGATAGAAAGATGAGATGCTTTTAATTCTTCCTTTTCGTCGCGAACACCACTCTACCACTTGTTCAATTGAAAGTGTGAAAGGCATATATATATGGAAAAAAGGTGCATTTGTCCTCTCACCACTTTGCCATATATTATCAAGTATATAAGTGTGCACAGAAATTTAAAGTAGGTCTGAAAATTAAAGAATCAGCTGTTTGTGCCACTTTGCAACATATCATCAGTGTGCACGGAATACATCTGTAAAATGAAGGGTGCAACTTCCCACGCCACTTTACCATATATTTTCAAGTATGTACGTGTGTACGAAATATATCTGGAAAATGGAAGGTGTGGCCGTTTGTACCACTTTGCCACATATCATCAATTCTGCAAGTGTGCACGAAAAATGAACAGCTGTAAGCACAAGTTTGGCACATATATCAATTATGTAAGTGTGCACGAAATGCTTCTAAAAAAATGAAAGGTGAAGATGTTCTCACCACTTTGCCACATATTGTCGATTATGTGTCCACGAAATACTTCCGGAAAATGAAAGGTGCTGATGTTCACACAATATTACCACATACATCAATTATTTAGTTAAGTGTGCACGGAATACATCTGAAAAATGAAAGGTGCGGCTGTTCGCACCACTTTATCAATTATGTAGGTGCGCACCGTGGAAACAAAAAGAGCAGCTGTTTGTACCACTTTGCCACATTTCAATTATGGCAGTGGGCATGGAATACATCTGGGAAATGAAAGATGCAGCTGTTCCGCCGCACCAGTTTGTCGCATATTATCTTATCCTTTCCCAATCATGTAAGTGTGTACAGAATATATCTGAAAAATGAACGGTACAGTTTTTCACACCACCTTGCCACATATCATCTATTGTCAATCGTGTGAGTGTGCATAATAGAATACATTTAAAAAACGAAAGGTACAGTTTTTCACACCATTTTGCCTAATATTTATTGTCAATCGTGCGAGTATCTAAAAAACGAGAGGAACAGATTTTTCATATAAAATCAAATATGTAAGAGGGCAGGCACGGAATACATTAAATGCAAGGTGCAGTTATTTGCATCACTTTGCCACTTCTCATCAATGTGTCAGTGCGCACAGAACAAACTAGAAAATGAAAGTAGAAGGTATTCACTCCACTTCGCCACATATCATCAATATCTGTGAACAGATACATCTGAAAAACGAAAAGAGCAGCCGTTCCCTTGGAATCTAAGCGATGGATACATAGTATTTATCAATACAGATGATTCGTGTTTATTCGTCCAACTCCATATTTCCCACTAGCAGACCAATTTACAGCACAATACAGTTACGCTTCAACCACGATCAGATCTTTCCGAGTTTCCTACAGCAGTCGACTTTCGCCCAACAATTCCTAGCTTGATGCAAAGGCGACAATGCTACGTACACCGGAGTATCTATGCAGTGCAGGTTCAAGAGCATGCGTTGATTATGATATTCGCATCAGCTTGTGCTCCCATTTCAACGCAATAGCTGCTGAATATTTTGCGCCCGACCAACTCCTAACTCGGGAGTTTTACACAGCCCAGGTCGACCGGAATATATTGACCGTTGCCACTCCCACTGACTTGTGCTACGAGTTACGCAACAGTCGCAGAATACCGATAAGGCTCCAATATATGATGGAAATGACTCGCGAAGTAGTAGTTCATCATCATGAATCCCATCACAAAATAATAATAATAATGAATATTCAATTATTGGCTAAATCGTCGAATAAATATGTGTCCCACAAACATTTACTAAAGATGCCATATATAAAGGCTGAGCACCAAACCTTATCTCAAATACGGCATTAAGCCCAAATCAAGGATAATGCAATCGAAGAGCATACCTGCATGATCAACTCACCGCCCAGTATTTCACTGATGGCTTCCATATGAAGATATCACACCTATCAACTTACAAAACTATTGTGAAGAACGTATTTGTTCATGGGCCAACCGATCCAATTAGTACTCATTGGTATAACAACCCTGGCCGACACCCTTCCCCGGGCTTGCGCTGCCACCAGCCATCAATACAATTAAGCAGCCATATCCTCACCAAAAAATCTGCATATACCACATCGATCCGGTAAAATATACTTAAACCCTATACCATAGCCACACGGCTACCACGTGATATCCAGTTTGCTGGTCATTATATCCAACAAAATGTACATCGATCTCCTCTCAACATCACCACTTGTTTCACTTCCCCTAAAAACAGAAATTTTAAATACTAGCTCCCAATTTTCAGCCAGCCTATCATACAACATGGGACATTAATTTGCTTACACAATTGAGTTCTTCTCTTCATCAAAGGCCCGTACAACATGACACCTTTACCATCGCCAAGAAAAAGTATACCCTGAAATACCATTTCCTAGATACACTCCAATTTCCTGGCACTTTCCATCCGATGAACCCAGAAAATTTCATACCAGAAACCGTTATCGCCGACACCAAAATTAACACTAGGAATGTGCCATACACATTCTGGCCACTATTAAACTACTGCTACATATGTAGGCGATTGTTTAAATACGCACGCAAAAATACCACACGATACAAATCCATACCAGGAGTATTGTAATTTCCCTCTATACCGAATACCACTGTACTAATAATGAACAAAAAAAACATTAATATACTCATTCACAGAGATCACCAGTATACGATATAGACAACAGTACAAATAAATTGCAAAAACCGAAATGTACTTTTATTTCGGACCTTACAGGGCTACTTCCAGAGTCGTTTACTCGGCTTCAACACCCTCCTCGTCACCGGTGGCACGAGTGTAAATCATCTGTGACTGGTGAAGCACCACGGGCTTGATTAGACCCTCCTTGGCTAGATCACGAAGAGCAGCGCGTGCTAGCGAGCCGCCGATGCGAAGACGTTCCGAAACTACCGACGGTGTGATGAACTTGTATGTCTTCACCTATAGATGAGTGAACAGAATAAAAAGAGTAGCCAGTCAGTACAAGCAAAACACTCGAGATGAACCATCAGTAGAAACATATTGAGCAACAAATGCGCGAGCAGATAAAAGATACAATGTGGTTATTTACTCTCCATTTCCATTTGGATGATTAACTTCAGAAACCAAATTGATACAGGTTTGAATTAGACGTATTAGAAAAAAATAAAAATATTACCACCTACACATCGACAAGGACTGATGAATATCAATATACAATTGCCATCAGTATTCGAACCGCACAATTGATACGGTACAAAAGAATTCTCACACAAAAACCAATCCTTCAAACGCCACTAGATATATCATATATTCAAATGACAACACCCATGATTGTTACCTACATTCTGCAATATCAAGTTGAATCGAAAAGTAACATACCTCCTTCATAAACTTCTCTAGGGTGTTCTTGTCGAAGAAGACAGCGTTGTTAAGTTTGTCACGCACCTTTCCCTTGGACCATTTCTTCTTCTTACCCTTACCACCAGCGGCCGCAGCCTTGGCAATCTGCTCCTTGGTTTTCTTCTCCTATGTATTCATAAGCGCAATTTGAAGGTAGAACTTGAGGTAGGAGTGTCTAATTGCTATATATTAGGGTTTAGGACAGACTATCGAATACGTAATTGATATTCTCCGTTCGCAGCCTCGTCAGGCAAGGTGCGGGCACTAAAATAATAATCATATATATATATTAACAGAATAACCTCCAACAATACATTCATTAGAGTGGAGATATGTTTAAGTACACTGCGTACAGGCTCGCGGTATGCACCAAGAAACATCAAGAATAAAACTGGTATTCTGCACGTGCTGTCCCAATAGTATGTTTACTGTTCGCATCTCGCACGGCAACAATGTAGTCGAACATGGCCGTGCTCAAATGCTGAAATCAGCAATGTAATAGATCTGGAACAGTAAAGAACAAGATTTTCTTGCTGCTGTAGTTTTCCATATTCACTCTTTTTTTTAAATTGCTGGCGGCGACTGTGACGACAACGCGCTAGTTGTTGTGCTGCATCATATTTGACATGTTTGTGGTTGTACATGGAAATGCTAAACTTCGAGTACCTAATATTCAGTATCTATACCATAGGCGTATATTTCTATCTTGATCATTATCATTGGTATTGAATACAGCATGTATAGAGGCTATAGAACTAACCTTAGGTGGCATTATGTCTTCAACAACGTATGTTATCGAAAATGAAAAGGAGGCTTGATTTCAGAGTATTGCGTATATTATACCGTCCTCTGCACAGCTTTCGGATTTTCTGATATTTTTGATCGACAGGTGGCGACTGGCATATTTTCAAAATTAAAGTTCTTGTTCGCAAATTTGGCCGGGCTCACAAAAAGTGGCAATATAGCTATACGGCTAGGGTCTTCAAAAGGCCTATCTAGAGTAGGTACCCTCACGTGCACCACTTCCATACTATATATTGTTTTTTGAATGACCTTCGCTCTTTATATTTGTCGAAAAAAAATAATATTTACAATAAATATTGTATAATTTAGAAGGCTGTGTAAAAATGTAATTGTAAAGAAAGTAGAAATACACCGACGAAAAGAAGAACTTGGCTGTGGAATAATAATAATATATTTATGTACCACACACGCCTAAGGTACTGTATTTAAAGTATGTACTGTGGACCAGAAGGATATAGCGCTGCACAGTTTTCGGTCGTCGTCACAAGCTACATTCTGTTCGAACGTTTGGTTATAGTTAGATCTTTCTGGGAATTTGTAGCGAAAGTATTTAAAGACGAATATTTATACATTACAATTGAAAATAAACAGTGAAGGCGAGTGAGCTACCTATTTTGACGTATCGCGGTTATCGCATGTCGTGTGCCGCATATACATCATTTATATCATTCTGATTTGTCATGCCTAGATGTCGATGTTGCAGGAAGTGGCGACCCGTAGTTGAAGAACCGCCTAAACCTCCAGAAAGAAGATGTAGCCTAATGCAGAACACAAGATGTAACTCAATGCAATTTCAGTACGCTCACCCATACACTAATGTGCACCCACCGCATCCTGTCCATCACGTACCTCATGCAACAATTGGTACCCAGCGGCACAAACATGTGCAAAATACAAGTCCGACATTTTATAGTCAATTTGTAGACTTGCCTGGTGAGTCGTCCAATGAGAGAAACTCTTCTACTTCGACGTTGGCAACAGTTCAAGTTCGAACAGCTCATGAGCAACGAACGCCTGCATCGACTCAGAAGCGTTCACATAGAGATGTACAGGAAGCGGATGTGGGAATAGAAAAAGTCTCTGAGTGCATTCTCAAGAGACATGAGTGTGAACAATCGGACCTGTCTGTTCAGAAAGATATGACTTTGCAGAAAGACTCGTCGACTCGAAAGCCTACTCATGCGAGACAAAGTAGAACACGGACAGATAAAGTGAATATGGTGTCCGCTATTAAAGGCCGACGCAGCCGCGGGACTTCTTCACGCTCACGCTCACATGTAAACAAAAGCAGACATGAGCATAGTATTACAGAGGAAGCTGTGCATACAAAAATAAGCAATGTAAAGTACTGGGAAGACAAGGTGAGTGAACACATGAAGCAGAAAGAGCGATCTGTTGGGTTGTATGGGCTGTCGAACGTGGATCGTATTATAGCGCTAAAGGCCAAGGTGAATCAACACTTCGAAGCTCATCTCAGACAGTTCAAGACTGTTGAATGGCCTGTAGTGCCCATTTCATTAAAGTGATTCTCTTGCTGTTTACATGTGTTCGTGCCAGTCTGACTATTTTGGAACACAACAACATGCGACTTCTCTTTCATAATTATATGTAGGTGCATAAAGCCACACACACATATAAGTATGCATATATAACTATCTGTATATATACACAAATAGAAATTTCTGTACAAAAAGTAAACAAAGTCAAATATATATATATATATTATATATGAATATATATATATATATATATATACATATATATATATATTTATCAATATAAATACATACATACATATATATATATATATATATGCTTATATATATATTTATACATACATACTATATATATATTTATATATATCCATATATATATATATAAATACATATATATATGTGTTTATATATATATATACTTATATAAAAATATATATATTTACATATATATGTAGATATAGATATGTTAAAGTGAATGAATATAAGTATATATATAAATACACACACACACACATATATAAACGCATATATATATATACAAATAAACACATATATTTCCTATATATAATTATAAAATATATTTATATCAGGTTTGATATTCCTCATCTCCCATATTGGACGCATTGTCCCAACATAAACAGATAGCAATGCTTGTTCAAAGCTTCACTGCACGTGAGAGTCGTCAGGCTAACTTAAGATGACGATGGCTGCTGTCATTTACACATCATGCACATTATACACTTCACTATTCTTTATTCGCTGCGTTTCGGGGTGCTTATATTTCAATCGGATGATGGCTTCTTGCTCTTCTTTTTCTTCTCTTCCTCAGCCGCTTTCTCATCAGTCACAATCTTGACTAGTTCCTCCACCTTCTCCGGAGCATAAATCTACGGAAACAGAAATGCCAAACAGCATTTAGTTGTAGTAGATATAGCGCGAATTCGATACAAGGTAAATAACGGGACAATGGGTTGTCATCACGTGATGAGCCACGACGCACCATACAGTGGTATAAAAATAGCAAATAACTGTGATATTCTTCACTCAGAAGAGTGTGTGTGGGGAAGGAATTTCCGATCAACCACGATATTAAGAATCATATGTTTTTCTACGATCATGGTCAACGTGAACACATTCAGACTTCTGACTAAATAGGTATATGCATGTGCAAGGACGCTATTTATGTATGCGTACACACACATATATATATACGTATACATATACATATACATGTACATAAACCAATACATATACTTGTATATATACGTGAACATATACTAAAATAAATAAATATACATGTACATATACGTGAACATATACTAAAATAAATAAATATACTTTAATTTTGTGCATACTGCCATATTCAGATGTAGCTTTCTCTAAACACAACGGCAATGTACGTTCTTCCCATACTCGTGAAATGCAACGGTGCCATGTAGCCACCCAAACTCAGCAATGTGAGTTTTTGCACCATCTAGCGGAACTTGTGCACATGGATTTATATAGCACAACACTTGCACGAATACTGATTTAGCCAGAAACTGCTTTGCTGCAAGAGTGTATCCATTAATTACCTCGAGAGGAGTCTTATTCTTCAATACGGCAATTTCTATGTTCTTTCCGCCGGATTGTACAACCTGCACCATACGTAGAATACTCACATGGATTAGTTTAAGGGTTCTGAGAGTAAATAGATTAGATGAGGAAGAGCATCATAACAATCACTGTATCTATAATAAAATAACAAACATTTGCCAGACGCCAGATAACGAACAGAAGCAAAACAGTAGCTACAACTGCGAGGCTGTATGGGCAAGGCATACTATATCCTAACAGGAACCAAAGTTACATGTGCTAAACTTGACAATTTACAAACAGTAACGACTAGTATACGTGCAACGGAATTAATAATGTACTGAATCTGAGAGGCTCAACACTTCGGGAAGTTTTTTTTTGAGAACTGAATTCGAGGTCCATGTCTACCACTGAGTAGCGTGTGATATAGCAAATTGTGCGTACTTACCTCTAACAAAGCCTTGATAGCCAGCTTTACGGTTTCTTCATCAGAATCTGTATCGGTTTCCTCGTAGTTCTTCTCAAAGTATTCTCGGATGGTGGTCGAAGCTGGGCCAATGGCGTTTGCCTGTGAACAAAAGAACGCACGTTATTATCATCATATAACCACGCACGCAAACATGGAATACACACACACACACACATATATATACTCTGCAAGAGTTCCATTTCACCAGAAGCCCCGTCAAGATGTGGTATATGGATCGTTGTCAACATACCTTCCACGCAGAGAAGTTTCCAGAGGGCTCCGTTTGGTACAAGTTGGGCGTGCCATCTGGATCGAATCCGATAACCAGTGTCGACACACCAAATGGCCGCACCCCACCGCTTTGAGTATATTTCTGTTGACAGGGAATTGTACGTTCATTTAATAATAATTGTACGTTCGTTTGAAGTAAGGTTCTGTATTGAGGCTGTTGTCGGCGAGACAAGTTCTATAGCAAAATAAAAACAATACGGTGGTCCCTGTGAACCTATCAAAATCTCAGTACCACGGTCGTCAAACATAGACAACGGAATCGACACTCCAAGTTACCGGTGGGCACCTAAAATAGCAACTCAAGGAATGGACAAGCCATTTCCTTCTAATATAGAAGCAATCAGGTTACAGATAAGAATCTGAGACAAAATAGCAAGGTGAAAACCAAACTCGGCGTAGACGTTCATAGCAACAAAGCGATGGAAATGCATCACCACCACCTTAGGTATTGGACATCCAAGCATTAATACCCAGACCATGGGATATTTAAAGACCACACCACATAAGCACTGAGCGCACACACCTGTTGAACACCAGCGATATAGCGGGTGATGTATTCCGTTGTGACAGGGTCGTCGACCGTTAATCTGTGACTTTGGCATTCCACGCGGGCTTTGTTCACGAGTACTCGCCCGTCCGCGGTAAGCCCTGTGTTTGAGAGCGATTGAGCGAGTGTCAATTTTGAGAAGTGCTCATTGAATGTATGTGATTAGTGTCTGTATATGATTAGTATATGAACGTATAAAATGTAGGTAAGTGCTGACTGCCAAATGGGAGTATATGCGTATTGCAGGTTGTGTTAATCGAATGTAAGCGATGGCTGTGGTTATGTCTTCATGAACGTGTGTTGGTAATTCTTATCAGTGATGGCGGCACCTTGAAATAGGGAAACAGCTGAGAACAACCGAATAGAGAGGTGTCTATTACGAGAGCCTTAATATTGCGACACAGCGAAAAACTAAATCTGTTTACGGGAAAGTCCCCAGAATACAACACAGCATGAACGGAGAGCCGACTGAGGGGTGTCCAATAAAAAGCTCAATCAGCCATCATGTGTATTTCAAAGTGCGAGAGGAATAGAGCGCATTTGCAGTAGGCACCAGTCACATACCAGCAAATGCAACGCAGATATGTTCATCGATCTTGCAGATCTTGCGAACTGTCCTGGGTTCCTGTAGTTTGGCAATGGACTTCTTCTCCACGCCGAGGACTACTATGTTCTTACCCCGAACACCGACCTACGGTTATGAGTGAAAAAAGTATGAGAATATTCCTCTACAATGGCTGCTGTTTGCCATCGACAAGTGATGGATCGCTATCTCATTCTAAATAAACATTTATATTCATGATAAGATTGCACCTGAAATTTACCGCCGAAATGTGGCATTAATTGCGTGATGGTGATATAGGTTACACCTCTAGTTCGAAAAACGACTATATTCTCCTTGTACAAGCCGCTGCCGCTGATTGAGTTTCTCAACTGCTACACAGGGTTTCTGGCTTAACCCTAACACCCGAGTAAGGGCATTAAAATTTGGTAATTCAATCGAAGGAATCCAATGCAAGCGACTACAGTCTACAAACCCATGCAGAACAAAAACACTCGGCGGGACTATAACATATATCCCGAGACAATACCTGATAGAACTAATAGTCAGCCTAACGGTTTGCCGACAAACTGGCGACGGTGAGATCATACATGTATGCGATTGGATAAAGAGCTACCACTAGCATGCACCATGGATTATATATATTCACCGATTACAGCCACAGGTACACAAAAACTGAACGATCGGATGGAGAACGATTAAAATAACGCTAAATTCTAATAATCATTGCCCGTAAGGACGCATTTACCGAGAAGAGAGTCAAACTATTTATTCGAATATAGATGTATATGGATATATATATATATATGGATATATATATATATATATATATATGCACCATGGATTATATATATTCACCGATTACAACTGCAGGTATACAGATACTAAATGATCGGATAAAGAGCGATTAAAGGAACGCTAGATTAAAGTATTCATTGCCCGTAAGGGAGCATATACTGAAAAGAGAGCCAACTATATATTCGAGTATATATATATATATATATATAAAGATATGGATACACACACACACACACATACACACATATATATAAACCTATACATTACATATATGACACACACACGTATATATATACATTCACATGAAATTGTGTAGTGAATATATGAATATGAATATAGATGAATATAAATAAAGATAAATGTAACTACACATACATACATACATATATATACATAGTCAGACAAACAGAGAAACAGACAGACAGACAGACACATATATATATATACATAATATATACATATATAT